TTATATATTCTTATAACCCATATCATTAGCTTAAACTACTACAAAAAGGCTGTAACCACCCAAATATCATTTCATTTTATGGGATCACGAAAGGTAAAAAAGTAATTTAGAATTTTTAAGAGTATCAAATAATAATCATATTAATCATAAGTGTTAATCTAATTCAAAATAAATAGATAATAGCGGATGTTATTATATGGTTTTACAGTATGCTAATGACGGTACTTTGCGAAAATACTTAAAATCAAATTTTACAAGATTGCAGTGGACAGATAAACTATATCTTGCTAAAGAAATAGCATTCGGTCTTTTATTCTTACATGCTAATAATATTATTCATAGAGATCTCGTAAGTATTGATATTTTATTTGGTTTTATATTTATTTTATATTTATTTTTCACTAATACATTGATAATTTAGCATTCAAGAAATATCTTGATTCATCAAAGACAACCGATGATCGCAGATTTTGGACTATCAAAGGAGACAAATGAAATGTATATGAAATCGAACTCAATTGTTCATGGAATGCCGGCATATATCGAACCCCAGTGCTTTGTTAACTGCAAATATAAACGTGATAAGAAATCTGATGTCTATAGCTTTGGAGTAATCCTCTGGGAAATTTCGAGTGGAAGACCACCCTTTCAATCTATCGAATCAGGAACGGCCCTTTGTTATCACATATCCTAAGGAATTAGAGAGAAACCTATAGAGGGTACACCATCTCAGTATATTGAACTTTACAAACAATGCTGGGACAATGATCCTGTTAATCGCCCAGAAACAAAATTAATTTTCAATACTTTAAAGCAGCTTATTTCCAATGAAACTTTAAATACAAACTTACTTACAAATTCCGATACAATAAATTCAGACATATCATCGCAGGACATTAATATTCTTGAGAGTATGAGAAAAGAAGCACATAATTGTCTTGTGCAAGGCAAGTTAATCAAAGCACTTGAACTTTATATAGAAATTCTCAAGAACAACCAGCATAATGATAAAGATCAAAAAAATGCTTCAATATGGGATCTTTCTAATAATAAATGTGGATTGGAAAAAATATATGAATTAACCAAGGTACTTTGTGAAAACAGTACTATAAAAGATTTGAATCTTAAAAATAATAATCTTGGATTAGAAGAGGGAAAAGCATTAGCAAATGCACTTTGCAAGAATACTACACTGACTTCTTTGAATCTTTATCAAAATAACCTTGGACCAGAAGGAGGAAAAGCATTAGGACATGCACTTTGCGAGAATATTACACTGACTTTTTTATATCTTGGTCGGAATAATCTTGGAACAGAAGGTGGAAAAGCAATAGCAAATGCACTTTATGAAAATAAAACTCTAAAAGATTTGAAACTTCAAGATAATAATCTTGGCTTAGAAGGAGGAAAAGCACTAGCAAATGCACTTCGTATAAACACCACACTGATTTCTTTAAATCTTTGGAATAATAATCTTGGATTAGAAGGTGGAAAAATATTAGCATCAGCGCTTTATGATAATGCAACGCTGACTTCTTTAGATCTTAGTTATAATAATCTTCGACCAACAGGAGGAAAATCATTAGCAGGTGTACTTTGCAAGAATACGACGCTGACTTCTTTGAATCTTTATTATAATAACCTCGGACCAGAAGGAGGAAAAGCATTAGCAGATGTACTCTGCAAGAACACTACTCTGATTTCTTTGAATCTTAGCTCGAATAACTTTGGACCAGGCGTCGGAAAAGCATTAGCAGATGCGCTTTGTGAAAACACCACGCTAACTTCTTTGGACCTTAATTGGAATGATCTTGGACCCGAAGCAGGAAAAGCATTGGCAAATGCATTTTGCAAGAATAAAAGTCTAAAAGATTTGAAACTCCTTGGTAATAATCTTGGATTAGAAGGAGGAAAAGCATTTGCAGATGCACTTTACAAGAATACCACGTTAAATTCTTTACATCTTGGCTCTAATAATCTTGGGTCAGAAGAAGGAAATGCATTGGCTGATGCGCTTTATAAAAATACCACGTTAAATTCTTTATACCTTGGCTCTAATAATCTTGGATCTGACGTCGGCAAAGCATTAGCAAATGTACTTTATGAAAATACTACGCTAACTTCATTGGATCTTTATTTGAATAAACTTGGATTAGAAGGAGGGAAAGCATTATCAGATGCACTTTGCAAGAACAATACCCTAAAATTCTTAGATCTTAGACATAACGCTATTAATTTTAATGTAAAATCAAATAATACAAGTATTAAAATATTACAATAGTTAAAATGTAAAAAATGTAAATAATGTAATAACAAAAAAGGTAAAATACTTATTAAAAGTATTAATAAAATTTGTAATCAAATATAGATAAGTATAAGAAGAAATTGTATCAGAGTAAAAATTAACATGATTAAATCACTTGAAAATTCATATAATACATAATAATATTTTTAAGCGTAAATGATTTGGGTAGTTATGCTAGAAGGGTTAACCTAAGGGTATTCTAACTTCGTCACATTTTTACAAATCCGGATAACTTATCCGTTAGGCTACTACTTATCTGTAATCCGGTAACTTATTCGGATAAGCATATCTGGATTCAGGAAACGGCGCCTGCACCTCTATTGTACATGTTGAAGAACCTCACGGATGGTGATTATTCATAAATCTTGGATAAAGAAAAATAATTAACACATTTTCATAGATTGTTGTACTAAGATTATAGCCATCAGTTGGATAAAAACTAATGAATCACAGAATGCACTAATAAAATTGGAGACAGCTTATTTGCGGGATGTTCTTCAACCGTTACTGTTCTTCATGGGAACCCACAAGGATTCGGCTACTTTACCTTTAGTGATGACAAAGGCCACAATCATAGATTTTTAAAAAGACTTATATACAGTAAATAATGGCAAATCATGTTTCGCTAAATAAAACATACACGTCCGTATGACCATATTTTCGTTATCAAACACTTCAGGAGTGTTGGTTGATATTTGGCTTTCAATATACTGGGGATGTGAAGGGACACGTTGGCCTCTGAAAATGTACTTCCGAACTTAAACTCCTAATTGTTCTAATCCTTAGATTATTGAATTAATGATTTCCGTTAAATCTTTTTACAAATTTGCACCTTTTATTGCCCTGTTTTTTTTTGATTTAAATTTATTATCCCTTTCAGTTTCATTTTGCAATTACTAGAAAAATCTTGACATTTGAATTTTATTTTCATTTTTAAATAGAGAATAAATTTAGTGATGGCTAAATTGATTAGATATTACAACTTTTTTTGCACATAAATAATAACTTAGAATTTAAAACTCGAAATATACATAATGAAAATTTACCTAATTAGATAATTATATGTATACTGCAATCAGTCAATCTGTGATAACCGTCTAAATTTTTTTTTGAATTTTAAATGATGATATCTCATTAACTACTTACCTGACATCGATAAATTTTTTTTTATTTTGATTCTATGAATCCATAGAATTAAAATAAAAAATTCCATCAATTTTTGATAGGTAGTTGCTGAGATATCATCGCTCAAAGTTTGGAAAGAACTTAATCGCTGTCTTTTTTAATTAAATTTTTTTTTTTTAAGTTTTGTATCTCAATATTATCTGCATAACATTTTAAAAAAAAAATTTATTTTAATTCTATGCATTTATAGAATTTAAATAAAAATTTTCATTGATTTTGAATGGGTATTTATCGTGAAATCATCGCTCAAAGTTTGGAAACAATTTAATTACGGTCTTTTGTTTTTTAAATTTCAATGCAGATATCTTGATAACTATTTACCTAATATTGACAAAAATTTTTTTATATTAATTCTATAAATGCATAGAATTAAATAATAAAAGTTTTATTGATTTCGAATAGATAGTCATCGATCATCGCTCAAAGTTTGGAATAAACATAACCGCAGTTTTTGTTTTGATAATCGCCTAAATTTGTTTAAACTTTGAATGATGTTATCTCGATAATTACCTATTCAGAATCGATGAAAAGTTTTTTATTTAAATTCTACGGCTTCATAGAATTACGATAAAAAATTTTTCATTGATTTTTTATAAGTAGTTACTGAGATAGCATCGCTCGTAATCGCCTAAATTTGTTTGAACTTTAGGCGACGATATCTTGATAACTACCTATTCAAAATCGATGAAATTTTTCTATTTTAATTCTATGGTTCATAAAATTAAGAAAAAAGTTTCTTGATTTTTGATAGGAAATTACTGAGATATCTTCGCTCAAACTTGGAAAAAAAATTATATAATGTTATCAAAATTAGGGTACTACATACCAATTCACATGCATCCTGAACCTCATATCACATGATATATACGTATTATACATTTACATAGCGTTGTTCAGAAAAAATGACAGCATGATTTTTTGTTCTTATGTATGACTTTGAAACCAATTTCTGCTTCACATTAACTTTCACTTTGACTTTTATTTTGACTTTCATTTAAATTTTGATAATATTTGCTTGTTGAACTCAAAATAAAGTGTTATATTTTTAAAAGCCAAAACAATTATATTTACTTTCTTGAGTAAATTAAAAAAAAATATTTTTTTAGGCAAATTTACATATAAATTAGAGTAAGTTATCTTGTTTGATTTAAATTTAGAGGACATGTCCTATAATTATTAATTTAATTTTTATAAATAAATATAAAAAAATTTACTACAAAGTTTATATATAATTTTAAAATACATAGTATTCTCTACTCTTAAAAGTAGTAAATATTTGTTTTTAACAAAAGTTGCATTTTGAAATTGTGCAAAATTAGCAAAACTTTAACTTGTTTTTAAGCCAAATTTTTCTTTTTTTCTTGTTATATATATAATTGTAAAATTTAATTTTAAGTTATTAGTTAAGCTGAAAAGTTCTTTAGCTTAAAGTTCATAGTAAATTCATATGTTTTTATTATAGACAATATTTTGACTCTTTTTAAAAACATGTCCTAATTCTAATATATAATTAATGAGCGAATCTATTTGCCGCCGGCGGTGACTGTCACCGCCGGCGACAAACACATTTTTCTATAATTAAAAGGATTTAGAACAATTAGGAGTTTAAGTTCGGAAGTACATTTTCAGAGGCCAACGTGTCCCTTCACATCCCCAGTATATTG